CCAAGTAGGCGGCTTCTTTATCTCGGCGTGGTCCTATTATTTATGTTGCCAGCCTAGCGTTGTTTTGGTCTATTGATATTGAGTATTGAACAGAGATCTCTGGTATTGAATCAATACTATTAATAATTACCGATTTATTATTTATATAATTTAACTAATTTAATTTTGCATATTATAACCTGACACCCCCTGAATATTGAACTTGGAAGCAGAGATGCTTGGAAGGATCCCTTTTGCATTCCAAAAGATCTTAAGTGGTTGTTTATCAGTATTGACATCACCAGATGTCATAGATCTGTAGCCAAACTTTCCTTAGTTGACTTTGTTCGTTGCGTTGAGTATGTTGATTATGTTGCGCGATTAAAAGATGGTTTAACAAAAAACAAAACTTTATTTTAACATGGTTGTGTATATGACTAAGTTTAAAATCTTAATGTTAAAATACTAAAATCTAGGTATAAAATACCAAAAAGGGGAGGGCGTTGCAGCCACTTGATGGCTAATATCTTCCAGATGTCGTAGCAGAATTGATTCTCCCTTTTCTTGGTAATTGCTTTTACTTGTAAATATTATGCACTTGTTAAACAGATAATTTATAATATATGAGCCAAGCGTAAACATGCCCCCGGCCTTGGCAAGTATTGCCAAAAAAAAACAAACAAAAAACAAAGAAAAAATACATTGATATGGCAATACCCTTTACATATAGATAATACCCTATTAAAAATGCCATATAGAAACACAAAATAAAAATCTATATGGTTCTATCTGGTTCAATATAGGAATTTGAAACAGGCATTGCACTATTGAACCAGATAGAATTCCATACCTGGAAAACCATACAGAAAAGTGATTTCTATATGGATTGCCATATAGATTCATATTGCTCTATCTGGCCCAATATGGTTTGGGTGTGAAAAAACTATTACCATATAGATCCATATTTAACCATATAGGGAAATCTATATGGTTTAATATGCAATTTTCGTTTAAATATATATACATTTAAAAAAAATGGAATTCCATATTCAACCATATAGGGAAACCTATATGGAAAGACACATAAAACAGAAACCAGATAAATCCATATAAAAATCCCTAAGTTGTACATTTTAAAATGAAATTCCATATTAAACCATATAGATTCCAAAGTGTAAACCAGGTCGTTCCATATAGGACATATAGAACCATATAAATCCATATTAGTTTCCTTATCTGGATCAATATGGGTTCTATAGGGCATTTTTAATAGGGTATCTAATAATATCATATTATGACAATGCAAATGAAGTAGCAGAATATCTCAATTGGTGCATTATAAATTCGGTAAATATATAAGTATAAGTAAAATATAATTTGTAAAAATGACTGCCTTTTAATTTTAAACATGCTATAATCGAACATATAAATTTTAAGCCTAACTACCTAATACTAACTTATATTATGTCTACATGAGTTCAATATATTTAGTTTGTTCACTGCTTTTAACTATTCTCTACGTCGTCGTTTAAGGGCAACGGACATATTTTAGAAAAAGATCGTGTTACGACACCACTAGAAGTTTTAATTTTAAAAACACGTGCTACACCATCGCGACCACAAATCACTTCAATGATGCGACCAAGTTTCCACCTCATGGGTGGCAAATTGTCCTCTTTGATTAAAACTAGGTGGCCTTCGTTTTGAATGTTATCCAAGGCCTCATTTTTATGCACTAACGATTCAAATAAATCCGCAAATTCTAACCAATTTTGGTAAGAACCGTTAAATTTGGGAATTTCAATGGGTTTTAATTTTATGCCTGCAAATTTGAAAGTATTGTTTTCATGAGGGCTGTGTAAAGGGTTGCTCGTAACTAAATTAGTTCCGGACTCATTGTCTAAATATAAGGTAGATTCTTTTATAATATGTTTTGCTGTTGCTATTTGCATATGAAAATTAGATTCGAATGTATCGCGCTCTTCATATTCGATTTGCAATAAACTTTCGTCGGTTGTTTTGTCTTCAATTAAACCCTGTATGTTTTCAAACTCGAAAATTATATTTTTTGAATGATTTAAACGTTCTTGCAAGGTTAAAATGTCTACGTCAGCGAGATGATCATTTCTTTCTTGGATGCTTGATGTATATTTTACAAAATGTGTGACTTTAGCCTTAAGGGCGCCACGTTTTCTTTTTAATTCTTCTAAAGAAAATGATGTAAGAACTGACATTTTTGCGAGCTTTTTTGATTAATGATAAATTTAATGAAATAATGAATTGCGATGATTAAAATGCGTAAAATTGTGTTATGTTAATGATGCATATGATTATGATTTAATAAGATTGCATTGCACAACCCTAGCTCTAGAAAACTTTCCGTTAAAAATCCCAAATTGGAGCGACAACAAATTAGCACTAATGAATGTATGAGAGGAACGACCTCACCTGATGATTTGTAATGTAGTTGGCTACTGTTGACTTTGGGCTTCGTGCTTCTAGGGTCCAGATGTAAAATGTTGTTAGAGTGATAATCCTTTGCTGATGAGTAATTGCGTTTAATATATTGATTTCTAGAGATGCTTGTTGTGTGCACTCGCGTAAGTCACTATTTTTAGACCCTTGTCCTTGTTACACGCACAAAACTTTTCGATGATTGATGATTTGAGTTTTAATTGTTTATGCGAATAATCACTTGTTTTTATTTTCACTTAGATTTTTTACTATCCGGTTCGAAGGACCATAATGTTCGTTGCGTTGAGTATGTTGATTATGTTGCGCGATTAAAAGATGGTTTAACAAAAAACAAAACTTTATTTTAACATGGTTGTGTATATGACTAAGTTTAAAATCTTAATGTTAAAATACTAAAATCTAGGTATAAAATACCAAAAAGGGGAGGGCGTTGCAGCCACTTGATGGCTAATATCTTCCAGATGTCGTAGCAGAATTGATTCTCCCTTTTCTTGGTAATTGCTTTTACTTGTAAATATTATGCACTTGTTAAACAGATAATTTATAATATATGAGCCAAGCGTAAACAGACTTATTAATAAATTATTAATTATTAATTAAATTTAAGCAAACGAAATTAAATATTATTTTCAAATTTAAAGTTGTATTACGGGTTTTATACTTTCAGGCGTTAGAGGAGTCCAACCTTTTCATGCTTACTTTATTAATAAATAGTAGATGAATCTCCTCTCAGGGATTAAGTACTTTATTTTTTCCGTAAATTAGAATTTAACATTTTGTTTGATGGTTTAAATCTGACAGGACCTCCTGCCTCTTGGACCCCCTCTTTTGTGTGTAATAATGCGGCGATTCTGTAGGTGTTCAGTCTGTTTCTGTTATACATAAAATAACCGTTGACTGTCTAATTAACATCAAGCACATTCGCAATAAAAAATAAAGACGTATAGCGCCATCTATTAGGTAACTGTATAAACCCAGTCAACAAAATGGTCAAAATGAACTTTGACATTTTCATTTTCGCAGAAATAGCGTAGGTCGAATGGTTGAATTTTAGTTTTATTTATTTTTTGCTGTTGGTTCTACAATTTTTATTTTTGCAAATTTGGGTCAAAGGGTTAAAATACCCGGTTTTACCCGTTTAATTATTTTACCCGGCACATACTCCAAAATACCCGAATTTTGGGTAAAATAGCCGGCAACGGCAACGCTGCACATGTATTTTCGATACTATTTTCACGTCATACGGACGCATCTTAGAACAAAAAACAACAGGAAGGAGCATTTAATAAATGACCTTGGGTCCAAAGTGGAGCTTCAATATGGCGGATAGTTGTTTCCGTTTGACAGTGGCGTAGTAAATACAATTGAAGTTTAATTTTTATAATAATTAGGTTAGTATCAGAAAATATGATACGCCTATGTTTTTTTCTATGATGGTGACGTTCTTAGGTTATGGTTATGTTCTAAGGTTACGTTATTTGACATTGATTAATGTTTAATATTTAAAACTAATTATTTTAAAATATACAATAAGTAAATAAATTAAACGTTAACCAAAATACTCACCTATGAAATGTAAATGAATATTTTTAATTTTTGTGCTCAAGGAGCAACCACAAGCTGCACAACTAACCATAATTTGTTTTTACACCTTAAACACTAATATTTATATCTTAAACTTTAAATATTTACACTTAAACGAGAATATATCAAATACAATATTGTCTAGAAACAATGAAACGCTTATTTAACCAGAAAAACAACATAAAACACCGACAAACACATAAAACATTCAATTTTGACAAATATAGTATCACAAATGTGTCATAATTTGGAGCTTGCAAATGGCCGACTTCCGTCGTAATTTTAATACGGCTAAAGAATGGCAAGACTCCTTCCTGTTGTTTTTTGTTCTAAGGGACGCATCGACAATCAGCGCCGCTGGTGGTGAAAAAAAAAGACTTAATTTGTGCAATTTAGTGGAAAGGTTTTGTCAATTTTCCCTATTAAGTTCGGCAGTAAATAACTAAAAGTTACCATTACCATTTTAAATTTATTATACAGCCCATGGAGCCTACACAATTGTGTAGGCCATGGGCCGTATAATAAATTTAAAATGGTAATGGTAACTTTTAGTTTTTTACTCCTTGTTGGCAGCACTGAATATCTAAACATAATTACAATGTTGCCTAATTTCTTTTCGGTTAAAAAAAATTTAGTGCTTAATTTTTTAGTGCAAATTACTTTCGGGGCTAAAAATTCGGTTTTAAAGTATGCATCCAGCTGGTTTAGCACCTGTGTTTGGCACTGAAAGTGTATAAAAAGAAAAGAAGTCAGGCAGTTTGATATTCAATGCTGCCAACGTAATTCTGACATATTGAAATCAAGCATGGAAATAACACTTAATAAATTTAGGGCTGCTACTTTAAAAAAAATCCCAATCCAAAAAATCCCAGGGAAAATTCCATGTAGCCTACTAATCCAAAAAACTAGGGACAAATTTTCATTACCCTAGAGATATTTCGAAAAAAGTTGGCAATGCTGAATTTGGCGCCTGTTTTTTGCAAAGTGGAAAAAATCATAGAAATTCTTGTTATAATTCTCTTATAAAACATATGTTATATGTTATAATTATCTTATGTTCTGTGGAAAAAATGTTATAAGGAAACCATGGAAGAAGATACGACATGTAAGCGTCTGGGTCCTTTATTTTTCGGTGCAAAAACACTGCTAAGGTACCTAGGTAAATAAACGCTTAATTTGTTTTCTATTCTTATTTACAGCTTGCCAAAGTATTTCAGAGTTAATACAACTATTCTGCGATCATTAAATATAAGCAATAGTTTTTCTGCATAATGGAGCAAATATGGGTTAAAAAAGAACCTGAAGATTTAGTCAATGATTCTGATGGTGATATTTTGATGAATTACGATAAGCCAAGTACATCTGCTGACCGAGAAATGCCTTCAACCTCTGGGGTAGCAATAAAACAAGAAATCAAAGAAGAATTGGATTTTCATGATGAGTTTCTTGGCAAAGGGTAAGCATTGTTTACATTTATTGCAATATTACCATTGGTGGTGAAAGATATTGCCCTAACCGATTTGTTCACTGATACCAACAAATCAAGAAGATTCTTTGTCAAAGAAGAATTGTTATCAACCTATACAAATATCAGTGATTTTACAAAGTCATAACTTTTCATATAGGGTATGTTATTGTACTTTTAGTTAAAACCCTAATACCTATTCTTTTTTAAATTTTTACTGTTAATTCTATTTCTATTATGATTCCAAGTAACAAGGTTTACAGAAAATCATACAACTGAACTAAAATAGGTACACAAATATTTAAATATTTTATCAAATCAATAGACTATTTACATACTAAATAGTATTTAGTCTTGCCAAGTTGCCAAGTAATGTAAGAAACTACAAATAAATTCAACATCTGTTTCTGCCTGATCTTTTATATAGGGTGCACCAATGTGTATTTTTGTATTTGAAGACCTACAAGTTCGATTAAATTGTATTAAAATGTAATTTAAAATTTTTAAAAAACTATAAACTTTCAAAACCAAACCTTGTTACCTATAACTTTGTTATACCTGAGAATTTAATAAAAAGTAAGTTTTACATGTACTTAAACATACACATTAATCTACATTTTCATCCAATTTCTTCTCTACTATATTTTGAGTTTTAATAAATTGTTTTTTATTATTTTGCAAATTTCAAACTTAATTTCTTCTAAAAAAGTTTTGTCAATACAAGTATAAAGCTTAAATTGAATTTTCACATTGCACATTTCTCAAACAATTGTTTATGCTTCCTTATAATCAAACTTAAAGTAGGTACCCATGCATAAAGTTTTGTCATTAGAAGTGTAAAAGCTTCAATTTAATTTGAACCATATTCAACAATTGTTTAGTAGGTAGGTACCACATTCAAAATAGGTTTTTGTAACCTTAAAATTATAAAATTAGATGATATATTTTGTTCTTACATATAATACAGGGTGTTTTACATACGTGGTCCATTACAAGTTTCTGGGAAATGAAAAAAGATATTGACTTGAAATTTTAAAAGCGTACATACTTCTTTTAAGTCTTTTTTTCTAAAATATTTTAAACAAAATTCCACTTCCAGTTTAACAGGAAGTGACATTTCAAATACAACCCATATATTTTTAAATTTTAACTAAAATTCTGAGTAAAATTACTATAACATGTCCTATACCTAAAGTGAATAGTTTTCAAGTTATTAATTTTTTTCGTTAAAATTTGACAAATGCTCGTCAATAAAAATATCCTATAACTTTTTTGTTATTAGGTTTGCCGATATGGGGGTGGAATTTTAAGAATCTTAAAACATTGGTTAAAAGATTTTATGTCAATTTTTTATACATTTTTTAACAAATTAACTGAGAAAAGCCGGGGCAAATTAGATAACTTGAACGTTAATAACTTTTTTATTTTAAATGTAACACCCAGTATGTTTTTACCTAAGCATATAGTAAATTAAAAAAAAAAATTCGATTGATTTAACTATTCCCTGTACCTAAAGTTAATAATTTCAAAGATATTTAACAATTTCTAAAATTTTAAATATTATTTTGTAGGTATCATTGTTGAAAATTTAATGTCGACAATTTTTCAGGTCGTAAACAATTTGTTAACTAATTAAGTGTTGTAAACAAAATTACTGATACAAAATAGCAGTCAGTGACTTAGCCAAACATTTTTAAAATTTAAAAATAATGCAAGCAGTATTTGCTTATTTTGAAAAATAAATCAACAAAGCTGTAAGATTAAAACTACATGAAGCACTAGCTCATTGGAGATATGTAAAAAAATTGACATGAAATCTTTTAAACAATGTTTTAAGATTCCAATAATTCCACCCCCCATATCCGCAAACAAAATTATAGAATTTTAACGAAAAAAATTAATAACTAATAATATCAGGTATTATAAATATTATAATAGGACATGGTTTAGCCATTTTACTCAGAATTTTATGTTGAATTTAAAAATGTAAAAATATATGGGGTGTTTCATTTGAAAGAACAAATTTGATTTTAGAAAAATATACTTAATTGGATTATAAACGCTTTAAAATTTTTAAATCGATATCTTTTGCCGTTCCCCAGAAACTTTTAATGGACCACGAACGAGGAAACACCCTGTATATAAACAGTATAAAAATGTTAACATAATGCCAATTAAAAATATTTATTATTTTCAGGCAACTGCCTTTATTTTTAATAATCTTAGCAAAAAAAACATTCCAATCCAACTTTTACAATAACATACACGCTCATAATACTTGTAATAACAATTTATTAGATTTGTATCCTTTTACCTCCAATTTTGGAAAATCGTATATTTTGTATAAAGGATTCTATAAATATAACGAACTTGTAAAAAAGTATAATGTTTTAAATATAAATGAAATAAAAAAACACTTTAGGCCAAGCCAACTTATGTATTGTTTATACAGTGTGACCCATTTGTTTGCGACTCACCCCTGTAAAATCTTTTGTTTTAAAGTGTAGATCTTGATTAACTGTATTTTTAAAGCAAAAACGCCATATTTTTACAAAATTCAAGGCCTACCATGTTTTTAAGAATTCATATTAGCGATTTTTTTAAACAAAATCTAAGCACGGCACTGGATTCGCCACCCCTCAAAACGACCCTATACTAAATTTTATTGAAAAATTTTAAGAAAAAAAATACAATAATAACTACAAAAATTTATTTTGTCAAGTTATCCATGAAAAAAACATTGAAATAAAATTAAACTTATAGTAACATGAATTAAGTTTTTCAGTAATGAAAACTTGTTTTTAAAAACTATTTATTTGAAATTAGAGTTACAATAACCTGCACTAGCAGAGATTTTAAGTAAACTAACTTAACTTACAAGAGTGCATTTGATATTTATACAAATAATGGTGTGTCAAGGGATACATAAATATGTCATTTGAATATTGTTAGGAAGTGATAACAATTAATTTAATTACGTTAGGAAATACTAGAAAAAGAATATTGATTATATTACTTATTGTCTTAGAGAATTTTAAGTACATAACTCCTCCCTTCCTAAATCGGAAAATAAGGGTTTCATTATTTTCTGCGAAGTTGTGGGTGGCTTCAATTTTCTTTGGTGACGTCGGGGTTTGTAGATCTTAATGTAGAACAAGATGCCTGAGGACTGCCATTATAAATAGGAAAGTATTGATCCATGGGTGACTTGTGCTTGAACTGCTACTTAAATCAGGGATTTGCAAATTATTTGCAATTCTGTTGATATGATCAATGTCTTCACTTGTTATTTGTTTTAGGTAGAAGGATTTATTTGTTGAGTTGATTTCTATGTGCGGAAGTTCTATTTTGGGTAATTCAAAGATGAATTCTTCATGGTTGGTGTCTTCAGCTTGGAAGAATTTTCCATTTATTGAAATTTTGCATTTTTTCATTGACAAAATGCTTGGTTTGGATGTTTCGTAGATGCCTTCGATGTCACATGATGATTCGATTTTCGTATTTCTTGCAGGGATGATAAGTACATCTTTAGAATTGATTTGGGTTACGCTAGTTTCGGAATAATGAATGTTTGTACTTTGACAGAGGATTTTGCCGTTTCTGATGAGGTCTGCGAGGCATGGTTGGTGTTTGTGTAGATCGTTTTGGCGACAGAAATACCAATTTTCTATTTCAGGACATTGTTGCGATGTTGTCCAAAAGTCTCTTGTATTGAGCAAAAGGTAAGGTTGTTCAGGAATAATGGTCTTATTTTTTATTGGGATAGGATAGAGGCGGAACAATTTAAACTGGGAAGATACAATGGGTATGTGAATTTTAAATAAAATTATTTTGTCTTGGACAATTACTTGAACTGAGAATAAGTAGTAGTAATTTAATGATTCTTTTAACGTAGGTATTTGTTCTGGTCGATAAATATTTTCAAGTTTATTAATTAATAATTTTAATTGTTCTGGATTGATAATTGAGTTGTGAAGAATATTCAATCTAGCAAAGGAGATTGCAATTTCTAAGTTATGAACTATATACTGAATAGAGTGAAGTTGCATTAGTAAATTATCTATGATATTCGAAAAGGAAAAAGCTTGTTCTAAATTTATAAATCCATTAACTTCTTTTTACAGATATTTAACTTGATTTTCTAGGATGATTTGATTATCATTTAATTCTTTAAAGTGAGAGCTATACGTGTTCGAAATCTGCTTGAGAACAGTTTGTTGATTATTTATAGTATTATAATTTTTTTGTTCATTCACATCCAAATTTTGTAAATAATTTGAGATGAATTTTTCATCTTCAGAATCTAATGTACCAAATAGCCATTTTTGTACTTTACCTACACCATTAATTAATCCTCTTTTGACTATATTGTGAGGAGTAAATATTTTAATTTTATTTCTAATAATGTCGGTTAACGACATTGCGTTAATAATTTTTTGTTTTAAAAATATAGAAAGGTGATTATCTATTTGTGTACTAATATTATTTTCTAAAACTAAAAGGGTATTAGCAATTTGATTTGGGGATTTTTCAGGGTTAGTAAGGTTTAAATAGTATATAAAGGTATGCTTATTAGTTAATATTTTAGATTTTCCTAATTGTACGGGTAATATTGGGTTTTTTATTTCTTTTATTTCTAGCGTCTGGACTAATCCTAGAGCGTAAAGGATAAGGTACAGGTGCATTCCGACCTGAAACAATACGTTGTGGTTTAAGTAATTTTTTATGATAAGTCTTATTTTTAGTTTTTATTTTAATGTTGTCAAGAACCGTAGGGTTTTCTACTTTATCGTAACGATTTGATATTTTCTTTTGTGAGGCATTAACTTTTTTAATTTTATATAAAGCTTTCGTGGGGTCTATTTCTATATTTTCTGTTTTATTTTGATTTATTTTGCTTAAACTCTTGTCTTGATTGTTTTTTAATTTTTCACGAATTAGTTCATTAAGTGTTTTTAAGTTATCTGTGTGATCTTGCATATATTGGGAAATTTTAATGTTTTCATTTAGTTCAAATGGGTTTTTATAGTTTAGCCTACCACGAGTTATTTGGAAAGGTGTATAGTTGGTAGAACTGTGAATTGAATTATTGTAAGAAAGTAGAGCATAATTAGGTTTCTATTGTTTCGTTGGGTTTAGAGTTTTTTAAGGTTAATATTGTTTCTGCTATCGTCGAGTGAAATCTTTCCACAGGGCTGTTACTGTTTGGATTATAAAGAGTGGTATAATGAATTTCTATCTCATGTGTTTTGCAAAGATTTTGAATAATTTCGTTTTTCCATTCATGTCCGTTATCGGTAGTTATACGTCTTGGAAGACCGAAGTGGTTGAAAAATTGTAATAGTTTGTTAGCAATTTCTATTGCACAAGGAGATTTAATTGGATAAGCTTGTCCGAATTTTGAAAAACTGTCAATTATGGTAACAAAATATTGTCCGTGTGTTTTATAAGTATCTGCGTATAAATGATCAAAAGGTTCGTAACCGAAAGGGGTTGGTTTGAAAATTAATTTATTTGGATGTCTTTCGTATTTTGTCTTTTGGCATATTTCACATGAATTTACGTAATCGCGAACATCTTGATCTATTTTGGGCCAATAAAATGATTTTTTAATTGCACTAATATTTTCTTGAATTCCACGATGGCTTGTTTTTGTTTCATGGTATTGTTGTAATTTTAGTTTTTGTTCGTCTTCCATTGTTACGTCTGTTAGGAAGGTGTTTGAAATTGTTAATACAAATGCGTTGTTTTTAAAATATTTTTGAATGGTTGTGATAAACTGGGGTTCGAGTGATTTGTCTTTAAAGTAAAGACAATATGATTGTTTTGGTGCCATATTCTCTTTAATAAATTTGGTTAGTAGCGTTTCGTTATTATCTTTAGGAATAGTTAGATGAATTCTGTTTTTATCAAATATTTTTTCTCTATATATTTTATAATTATTCTGGTTTATAATTTTACTTGAAATATAATTTGGTTTTTGTAACTGTTTAAACATTTTTCAGTGTAAGGGGCATTAATTACGGGATCTTCGTGACTTGAATGAACTGTTTCGTTGTCGGTAGAGGGATTAATGTTGGGGTCGTTTAATAGTATATTACTGTGAATATTTATTTTTTCGTCTTTAGATGACTCGAAATTTTCTGCATGAGTTTTTATTAAATTTTCAATTTCTTCTATTTCGGGATTTGGATATTCAATGTCTTCGTCAGGGTTGTTTAGTAGCGAAATGTTATCTAAGTCGTCTAAAATATTGTCGAGATCATTTTGGTCATTGGATTCTAATGCGTTTAATTCAATACGGGAGAGTGCGTCTGCGTTCGTGTTCATTTTGCCTTTTTTATAGATTAAATCATAATCATATTCTTCTAATTTTAAGCGCCAACGAACTAGTTTAGAATTGGGATCTTTAAGAGAAAATAACCATTGAAGGGGTTTGTGATCGCTAATTATTTTGAATTTTACTCCAAATAAATAAGGACAAAAATATTTAACTGCCCAGACGATGGCTAAAAGTTCTTTCTCGATTGTACTATAATTTGTTTCTGCGGGGTTAAGAGTTCTAGAGGCATAGGCTACTGGTAGATCACTTCCTATGGGACCTTGGGATAGAACTGCTCCTATTGCGAAGTTTGAAGCGTCTGTAGTTAAATTAAATGTTTTAGAGAAATCCGGGTATTGAAGTATGGGTTCGTTCATAAGGATCAGGGGTATGCTCAACATTTTGATTTTTCTTTAGACAATTTGTAAGGGGTTTAGTTAATTTTGCGAAATTTTTTATGAATTTACGATAGTAACCTACTAGTCCGAGAAATGATTTTATTTCCTTAGGAGTCCTGGGGATGGGAAAGTTTTCAATAGCCTTGAGTTTTTTAGGGTTTGGTTTTATACCGTCAGGTGTAATAATGTGACCTAGAAATTCTACGGATTTGCATAGAAATTCGGATTTATCAAGTTGGATTTTTAGACCGGCTTCTTGTAGGCGTTAAAAGACTTGTTTTAAACTATTTATATGTTCCTGTAGAGAGGTAGAGAAGATAATAATGTCGTCCATATAGACAAGACAAATTTTACCTTGAAGGTCCTTAAGGACATCGTCCATAACTCTTTGGAAACTGGCAGGGGCATTTTTAAGTCCAAATGGCATTTGAACGTATTCGTAATGTCCGTTTTCGACGTTAAAGGCTGTTTTAGGGATAGAGTTTGGGTGCATCTCAATCTGATGGAAACCTGAGGCTAAGTCAAGGGTTGTAAAATATTGGCATCTACCTAATTTGTCTAAGATGTCTGTGATGTTTGGTAGGGGGTACCTGTCGTCAATAGTTTTTTCATTAATTTTACGGTAGTCAACAACGATTCTCCATTTTTGTTTGCCGCTTGCATCTAATTTTTTTGGGACAATCCAAATTGAGGAACTCCATGGGGATTGAGAAGGTCTAATAATACCGTCTTCTAACATTTTTGATATTTGTTTCTGAACCTCGGTTTTATGCACGTAAGGGTATCTATATGATTTAGAGTAAACGGGAATGTCGTCTTTTGTTTTAATTTCATGCTTAATTTTATTTGTAAAAGTTAGTTTTTTGTCAGGTTGGTGAAGAATACTTTTATATTTTACTAAAAGATTCTTAATCGCGTTTTTTTCTTCAGAATTCATATGATTTGTGCGTATTAGAGAAAAGTCAAAATCGTTATTTTCAGGCTGTGGGTTTGAATTAAAAGTAATTTGTTCGATATTAAAACATTCGTAAAAGTCTTCGTTATAAAGAGTGGCGTAAGGCCTTAATAAGTTATCGTCTATAGTTATTAATATATCTTGTGAAGTTGGATTATTAAATTCTAGTGTGGTTAGACCATTTTCAATTTTTAACAGGGATTCTGGAATGTTAACTGAATTATCAATTAGTTCTGGTAAAAATATTTCACAATCTGGAAGATTAGTTTTAATTGTTTTTAGTATAGAGGTAAGGGCAGGTATTTCAATTTTTTGAGTATTAAATTCATTTCTGTAATGTAATGGAATTTTTATTCTATTATTAAATAAGATTTTATTATGGGTGTCAATATTTAATTTTAATTTTCTTAGGTCGCGAATACCTAAAATACCATCAAAAAATTCGTGAAAGCTGTATAATACAAATTCCGGGTTACCTGTAAGAGGTTTAAATTCATTAAATAAGGGAATATTAGCTTTATAGTTTGCTTTACTTTGTCCATTGCAAGTTATAATAGGGGTATCATGTTTAAAAATTTTACTTTTAAAATATTTTTCTGCTATATAAGGGCGTAACAAAGAGGGATGACAACCAGTATCTATAAGTAATTTAATAGGTGGATTATTAATTTGTATGTAGGGTAATGAATTGGGTGCAAAATTATTTAAATCTATGGTATTTGAGTTGAAGGCTCGTTTAACCGAAAATTTTGGTCATTGTCACAATTTTTATCTTCGTTATTATGTTCTAAGGGAATATTTTGCGTGTTATCATTGTAAGGATAATAGTTGCTTTCATGATCTTGGGCGTAATTAGTATTATGATTAAATGGATATGATTCGCATTCTTCTGGTAAATAGTAATTGTCATGCTCAGGGGGATAATATTCATATTCTTGAGAATAAAGGTTTTCAGATGTGGAGTTGGTTTCGACATTTGTTAGTTCTTGGAATGAAAAGTTTGGTTTGTTATTACTCTGAAAATAATTTAGTCTTTGTGGTGGATTATTTTTTAAAGAAGGAATTCTACTTATGGTCGACATGGGTTCGGGTTTATTTTGTGGTTTGTGTGAATTTTTTGCAGAGAAAACATTTGTTGGTTTGCCAAAAACTTCCGCATTTGAAAAGAATTTTTGTTGAATGGGTCTGGGTTCAATTTTAATTGGTTGACTAGGAAATTGTTGTTGTCGTTGATAGTTAGTATTATTAAAATTATTACGTTGAGGGAAATTATTGTTAGAGTTTACTGGAAAGTAGAAATTAGGATTTTGTTGTACTGGTTTATAAAAGTTGGGGTTGTTAGAGTTTCTATTTACACTTATGGGTTTTTGAATGGGTTTTTGTTGTTGATATCTAATATTAATTTGTTGTTCATAAAGGGAATGGTTAATGACTAAAGAGGTGGCTTCCTCTATATTTTTAGGTTTACTTAACATTAAAAGGGTTCTAAGCTCTGAATTACAATTAGAAATTAAAACTGTGACGGCTGTAACGTCGTTTTGTTTAATAAGAGTTTCTTTTGTTTCTCTGTCGAGATCTTTGTCTGAATTAATTTTTAAATTTAATCGCATTTTTATAATTTTTAATCTGTCTAAAAATTCTGTTATTGACTCATTTTTATTACGACTAAAAAATATAAATTGTTGTTGTAATACATTTCTATCTATTTTATCGCCAAATTTTTCATTTAAAGCCTTTTTTACTTCTGGCCAAGTATCTAGATCTGACCTACAAAATAAATAATCTCCTGCTTTTCCGACAATTTTCGAACAAATAGATGCAAACACGAATTCGCTTAAGCTATTATCTGCAGTTTTACCGTACCTGTCAAAAAATTTGTCGACTGAATTTATAAAAGATTGTAAATGATCACTGCGACCGGAAAAGGTACGCAATTTCTTTTGCTGCTTGAATAGTCATTTTGTTATTTAAATTTAATCTATTTAAAGAATTTGTTAAATTATCAATACTCATAAAAAGAAATTCGTTTTTAAAAAAATAAAAAAAAAATCTTTTTATTAAACTTTTCAATTATTATACGAAAGGACAATAATAAAAGTTTTTAAAATTCACTTATAACTAGGGTAGGAGAATAGAAGGAATGCTCAACACTTACTTGAGAATCCAATCTTCTTCCAAGGTTTCTTTCTTCTTCCAGGTAAATAGTTGAAACTAATGGTGGAAATTATTGCAGATTTTCACCTCCTGGATCCTACAGCGACTGCGCCAATTAAGTTTTTCAGTAATGAAAACTTGTTTTTAAAAACTATTTATTTGAAATTAGAGTTACAATAACCTGCACTAGCAGAGATTTTAAGTAAACTAACTTAACTTACAAGAGTGCATTTGATATTTATACAAATAATGGTGTGTCAAGGGATACATAAATATGTCATTTGAATATTGTTAGGAAGTGATAACAATTAATTTAATTACGTTAGGAAATACTAGAAAAAGAATATTGATTATATTACTTATTGTCTTAGAGAATTTTAAGTACATAACTCATGGTACTATTTGTTGGAATTTATCTCCAACAAAAGATTCAAACTTTTTATTTTAAATTTGTTGGCGCCTTCCAGGTGGCATTGTAGTTTTTGCGAATTGCGCATGGCAGTTAGCAGAAGTCGAGTTGAAGACTTGTCGTTTGGCGGCATAGTTAGAATTGACCCTGCCTTTTGGGCATTCAATATTTAATATTTCATTAATTATATCAACCATTAATAATTTAGAAGCTTAGTAAGCTGTTAGTGTTAAAAAACAGTAAATGTGTTACATATTATGTATACAAATTGTAAAAAGTGTAAATAGTGTAAATACAAAGAAACCAGCAAAATTACAGTCCATTATTGAAGAAGGCCACTAATTCATAAACATTTGTATCCCAAACACTATTAAACGCATATATGAAAAATTAAATATTACCAAAAATAATCTCCTAAAGAAACAATTTTGTAAACTTGTCATGTGAAGAAGTAATTGCGGAAAAAAAAATACCCATAATAAAGTTCTTGGAAATCATACTCAAGAAATTATTTTTCCTGTTTTTAATTATTTTAGAAATAAAAAATAGAATATGAGTGTTGTTTAGTTAAATCCGAGGTTTTTTTAAAGCGAAAAGCAGATATATCTATGTATATATATGTATTCCAAATGCACAAAATATGACTTATTTGGCACCATACACTTTAAAATTTCATTGAATGAACTATTTATTTTCCTAAATTCCTAAACCAACCATTGTAATTGTGATACTATAAAGATTTCTCCATTTTTAACATTTAAATATAAGCGGTAAACGTATAAATATGATTTATTTCGTTGACTATTCTTTGACAGATGGATAACCTAAAATTCCTTAAATAACAAATTTTCAAAAGACATAGCCACGTGGTGGGACTTTGATGTGTGGAGTATAGTACATGTTTTTTTTCAACGGTATGATTTTTTTATTAATATTTAATGGCCATTCACATATAACATCACAAGATTTTTGACTTTTTTTAACCCCCCTCCCTGGACGTCACACGAAGTCACATAACATACCACCCTATAGTGATGTCCCTAGTGAAATTACATATTCAACGTCACACGTCAAACTTCGTCGTCACAAAATGTTCTTTTTCTTGGCTTGGAAATCCGAGTTCAATATCTGTACTTTGCCACAAAGATATTTAAACATACCCATCCATAATTTTAGATCTGAAGAAAGTTACAATAAATATTTTGATGATGGAGATGATCGTGAAGATTTCTCTTGCAATATAAAAAAAGAAGAATGGGGCAGTGACTTTTATGAAGAAGATGATAAAAATTCTTCACACAATGAAGAGAAAGATGAGGATGAAGCCATGTTTGAGACGAAATCCATGGTGGAATATCACGGGGATGAATATTATGATGAATCAGGGTGAGTTATATTTTGTTATTTACTTGAAAAATGTTTTGCTTTCATTTAATTAATGGTCAAAACCTCAATAATAACAGTCCTAAAGTAACATGTACACAAGAAGGAAGCCTTAGTACATATTATGCTCATAGCTGCCTTAATATTTAGTTTCGCTGCTTAAACCTGGTTCATTGTCACTTTGATCCAATCGTAAAAATTATTTAAAAGCCATGACACATGTAGTGTTAATATATTTTTTATAGGAGTGTTTACGAAGTTTTAAACGATGGAGGGTACTTCGGAAAGCTAGTTATGCATAAATTTGACAACACTTATATGGGTGAATATATTGAGATGTCCCCCAAGTGAAAATGATTATTTTTATTTTTGGTTGTTTCACTGTTAGTCTAGAATGGTTTTTTTGAGAAGCCAACAGATCTAGTAATAACATAACATAAGTGGTTCTGCAGTGCAGGGGTGTTAATCCCAGGATCCCGAAATCCCGGGGTCCCGGGATCCCGTAAAAAATCCGATCCCGAAAATCCCGGGATTAAAATTCCCAATCCCGGGATCTTAGTAATAAGTTACAAAGAATAAAATAGACTTTTTTTAAGCGTATGACATTTTTCATTATAATCCTTATAATACTCATAAGCATATATATATGTATATGTATATTAGGGTGTATATGTATATTAGGGTGTTTCAAAAAAATCGACTTTTTCTTTTTCTTCAAATGGTCAGCAAATTCTTTCAGAGGATGTCAAAACAAAGACCTCGTTAAAATTTGAGCTTTTAATTTGAAGATTTAGAGGTCGCGGATCGCAATTTTCTATTTCCCATTTAAATAACATAGGGAATTTTTTTTTAACTTTGGAATTTTATACGTCTATATCGAATCAACTTATGACAAGGAACATCTTAGATTTTTATAGTAAATTTAACGCTCTATAAAGAATGTCTCTTATAATTTTTCTATAAATTGATTTCTTCCAGAGTTATTCGAGGCCAAAGTTTGATTTCCATTGAATTTTCTCGTTTTTTCAACTTTTAGCATCATGTAGTAAAAAAATCACATATTTATATCTGAAACATAGGAAGTGTTGTAAAAAAACAAAAAAACGTCACTTTTTTCCAAAGCCTACTACAAATTTTTAATGAAAATATGAGATGTGTATAATATGCAGAGTAATTTATATACAGGGTGTCCCACAATTAGTGCGACAAAATGAAGGTGTATTATCTAAAGACCCCCAGGAATTCCAGAAAATTGTTTAAAAAATTCTTTCTACATTATTTAATAAGATACAGGGGAGTCATATTTTTTTATATGGCAACATTGCCTCATAACAAAGTAATAGTTTATTTCTTAATCATCATGACAACAAACAACAATGTTAGAAAATGCCAAATTTAAATGTAAAAATTTGTTACTTTAAGTTATAGGTTATTTATTTTACGTCAGACAGGGACTCCCTGTATTTATTTTCTATCCAGTCTGACGTAAAATAAATAACCTATAACTTAAAGTAACAAATTTGACATTTAAATTTGGCATTTTCTAACATTGTTGTTTGTTGTCATGATGATTAAGAATTAAACCACTACTTTGTTATGAGGCAATGTTGCCTTATAAAGAAAATATGACTCCCCTGTATCTTATTAAATAATGAAGAAAGAATTTTTTAAACAATTTTCTGGAATTCCTGGGGGTCTTTAGATAATACACCTTCATTTTGTCGCACTAATTGTGGGACACCCTGTATAAATGCATTTTTCTCGAAAATGGTTCCTTTAGGGAGCATTTTTTGATACATGTTTATTAAACAAAAAAAGTGTTATTTTTATACGAATAATGCACTGTTTAAGTTTGGCCCCCTAATTTCGGGACACCCGTATGATAATAATTGTACCAAAAATGTTAAAAAAACGCGAAAATTCGATGGAAATCAAACTTTGGCCTCGAATAACTTTGGAAGGAATCAATTTATAGAAAAATGATAGGAGACCTTTTTTGTAGAGCGTTAAATTTACTATGAAAATCTAAGATGATCCTTGACATAAGTTGATTCGATTCAGACGTATAAAATTTCAAAGTTAAAAAAAAAATTCCCATGTTATTTAAATGGGAAATAGAAAATTGCGATCCGAGACTTATAAATCTTCAATTTAAAAGCTCAAATTTTGACGAGGTCTTTGTGTTGACATCCTCTGAAATAATTTGCCGACCATTTGAAGAAAAAGAAAAAGTCGATTTTTTTGAAACACCCTAATATATATATATATATATATATATATATTATATATTTTTTTACTCAGTTCAAGTCAAATTATTATACACCGCCGTACAATAATGAAAATACATTGATATTACATAGCAAGAGTGGTTCCATCTATAGCATAAAATCAGCAAAGAAAATGTAAAATTACAGGACACTGTAGAATAAATTTATGTACATAACCTATAATATAACATTTCAAACGTCAAACCTGAAAAAATGGCACATACTTTAATGTAAGTTACAGCCCCAATTGGAACTCACCAAGGCCCGATTGATAAAAGAAATGGAATTATTTGTTAATGGAGGTAAACGTGGGTACAATGTGCCTACGAATTCTTGAAAACCATTCTTCCGACTAGTGTGGAGTCCGAAAGATATCGTTCGTTAGTTTGTTTGTTGTTTTATTTTAAATTGGTTTTAAAATTAATGATATATATTTTTTCGGGACTGATCCCGGGATCCCGGGATTAGCTACCTTTGGTCCCGAAAGGCCCGGGATTGGAAAATGGGCTCGGGATTGACACCCCTATTCTGCACTAATGCAAGAATTTTAAGAAATCATACATTTTGAATATTACAGCTTCACGGAGGTTAGGATTTCGTATGTTTTTTTTAAACATCCCTTTGGATATTTGAAATAAGTTAATGTATCTTTTGACACCATAATATTTTTAAAAAATACAATTGTACATACATAAAATATTTATAAAAAAATCTACTTACTTCATGGTGGATAGGTTTAATGAACTTAAACTTTTAAATTATAAAACAGCAACACTCATCTGCATATAAATTCTAACTGACCTTCAGGAATAACATGCATCTATAATGTCGTAAACAGAGGTTTTTGCTTATTTAAAATGATTAAAGCGCCATATGGCCATCCGTTGCGTAGAATCAATTTTTGTAACACGTACATAAATGGTTATAAAAATTAATTAATTTTTAATAATATTTTATATTTGATTCGATTGCTTTGGATGTATTTAATTTACTTAGTGAACTGATATTTTTAGTACGCTTTTACTACCTCAGATATTTGAAAACATATAGGTTAACCTAGAAAAACTGTCACGGAGGATAGGTTTTAGACTTTTAAAACATTGTAAAAAATAATTAATTGCGGTTAAAAATCTGGAACCTGAGCTGTAATATCTACTTCATTATGAAAGATCAAAACACAATAAAAGTGTTAAAACTCATTTAGTTTTTTTTAAATATCACGGGGTAACACCATCGGGGGACATTTCGTGAGATTCACCCATATGTATATTATTTCGTTTTACACAAGTGTAGAATGTTGATATCTTTGAGCCCTTAAGAAATCGCAAAACTAGGGGTAATGGAGCTTAAAACATCAATAACTTACGCGCTCCGCATGGCTCCACCTTTAAATTTTAAATGTAGATAAAAAGTTACTGTTTTTATAACCTACAAATGCAGACTCTGCCAGTGCCTACCCCGGCCTATACTCTTTCCGAAAGGTAGAGCGCGTGGTTGGTGTAGGTATCATAAGGTGTCCGTTATTTTCCGAACTGGCTTTTTTACTTGGCCATACGCTAAAGAAGTATCGGGTTTTCGCAACGCGTGCGCCATCTGGTGAATTTCGATAATAGCATTACGTGAAGCATACGAACTGTACATCATTTTTAAATAAATAGGTAGTTTTTCACAAAAGACAAATTTTGTTCAATTGCACGTTATTTGAGTTTTACTTTGCAAGGAAAAAATTAAAAAACTCTTTTAGTACTCGATTTCGATTGATTATTCCTTATAAGGGATCATGGTGAATTATTGTGTTTTTAATTGTAAATAAAATTCAAGAACTAAATCGTTGCATTTTCATGTTTTACCAAAGGATCCAATTCGGTAAGTACATTTGTTGATGCAGAATTAACTAATGATAACTTTACCTAATTAATTTATATTTAAGTTTGGAAATTTTTAAGAAATTAGTAAAAAATAATTTTTGCACAAACATAACCTTAAAATCAACAATTTTATATTTGAGTTCTTTAAAAAACGCCGACAACTGCATTTTAAACAACAAAATATACCTACGAATTCATGGCAACATAATATTATATATTATACATAATATAATGGTATTTTACCGTTGAGTGGAGACTTTATTAATCAACGCTTTTAATAATGCTAAATGCTGTTTAAATTTAGACGACTTATTTGTTTGACAATTTTTACTGAATTGAAATGTTTATACTTTTCACGTTAATCTCTACTAAAATGTGTATTTATTGTATCTAATACTATTATAGGTACAATTTATATTTACAGAGACTGTATGCAATTTATTTTCTTCATTCAGATTAACACTGTTTATTGGAAAACCGGTAAAAACTCAACCCAGGATTTCCTCGCGAAATACATCCAACAGCACAACAATTTGAGCCACGGTTTTTTTCAGATGTTTTTTTAACATTTTCCGGCTCTATTCTCAAAAACACTCGTTTGTAACATAAGCGTTTGACAGCTGATTATTAACCGAGCGGTGGCACTACTAGCGATACTTCTTTAGCGTATAGTCAATTATTTATAACCTGAAAAAAAATTCTATTGCGGTTAAATACTGCCTAAACGAAAATAAATATAAAGCAATACCTACTTAAGATAAGATAAGATATATTTTTTAAGGAAACATTTCCACTCCATAAAAAAGGTCTTTTTGAAAAAGCACCCATTTAAATAAAATCGAAGGTCTAATTTAAAATTAAAAATATGTCTTTTTTTCTGAATTTTATAATAAAATTAATTTTATTATAAAATTAGAATTCTCAACACTTATATCACAAGAGAGTGAAAATAAATTAAAATCAATTCGACAGATATTTCAAAAACTTAATTACAAGTTTAAGAAATTTTCTAGAGAAATATTTTCTAATTTATTGAACTCTTGAGTGAGCATAAGCATGAGTAAGTACAAGAACGTATGGTTGGCCCCATTGGCATCGCCTTTCACTGATCTCCCAGAGTTATTTTTACCAACTTTCTGCACAGCATTACGGAAAGTTTTGAAATGAAGGGGTCATTGCAAGAAGTACCTAAGTCATTATTTTGATACATGCAATGCAACCTGTGCTTTAGTCCACGTTATTTAAATTAGGTTATATCTGAGTAAATTACCTAATAAACTGTGTAAATCCCAATAATTTGTGTTTGTGATTAACAACAAAATAAAAAAGTAAAATAGTGGAACCTTAAAACATACCAGTTACCGTTTTTTTTGCTCGAACCTTGTCTGAAAATGGAAGTATAATCCAGCAAAATGATGTCATTGATAAAGAAATTAATCAGTTACAAGAGGCCGAAGCTGTTTAAGAATAGCCAGCCTTCTTATTATATTCTTAGTTTTGCTTTAAGTTATGTCCTAAGCTATGTCCTAAGTTATGTCTTAGTCTTAAGTTTTGTTCACAATTTATAAACTTTTTTACGGCGTTATAATATATAAACCTTTTTTTAAGTATAAACAAATTTTTCCTCAAAATATCCCTTAATTTGTGACAAAATAAAAACATTTCAACACAAAAAGTGCCTGAGTCCCAAATTATTTTATATATTTTTTTGATATAACAAAACGTTTTTTTTTAATCATGGTAGTCCAATCCACTTTTCACAAAGAATACAATACAAAACACACTTTCATCGTGATATTTTGTGTAATATTTCATAATCAAAATGTATATTATGGTACACATAAAATTTTATTTTATTATTTAGTACAATTATTAAGTATTATTACTGCATATAAAAACATAAATTTATTTAAAAATCTTGTTATTTATTTCTACAAATTGAACTAAAGTAAATATAATTATTGGCTTCACCAGTGTTTGTTTTTAACTTTACACCCTTTTTATGTATTTGTAAAGCGTGTTTTAATTGACATTGGTTACATATATAAACACTTTTTAAAATTTTAGGGGCCTTTGAATTATAAATATAAAATTGACATTGGTTACATATATAAACACTTTTTAAAATTTTAGGGGCCTTTGAATTATAAATATAAAATTCAAGACAAAAAAAAAACAATTTTTTAATTTATTTTAAACTGACCTTCGATATCATTTAAAATGGAGTTTATCAATTAAAATATTAAAAATATTTTTCATAGAGCGATATATCGTTAATTAATGCTGTTTGTCTTTTTTGCCAGCGAGTTATGAGATATTTTCCTTTTCAAAAAATGAAAACGTTTCACCCTTTAGGTTTTTTTATTTCAAAATAGTCAAGTAGAAAAAGCCAATTTGAAAAAAAATAGCATTATTAAAAGCGTTGATTAAGAATTCTTTAAAGTCTCCACTTAACGGTAAAATATTATTATACATATTATTATATATTATGTTTTGTATATAATATTATGTTGCCATGAATTCGTAGATATATTTTGTTTTTTAAAATGCAGTTGTCGGCGTTTTTTAGAGAACTCAAATATAAAAATGATTGATTTTGAGGTTATGTTTGTGCAAAAATTATTTTTTACTAATCTCTTAAAAATGTCCAAACTTAAATATAAATTATATTAGGTAAAGTTATCATTAGTTAATTCTGCACCAACAAATGTACTTACCGAATTGGATCCTTTGGCAAAACATGAAAATGCAACGATTTAGTTCTTGAATTTTATTTACAATTAAAAACACAATAATTCACCATGATCCCTTTGATAAAATACACAAAATAACGTAACTATATAAGCATTTAAGCGTTGAGTTTCTTAATCAATGATATAAGGAATAATCAATCAAAATCGAGTACTAAAAAAGTTTTTTAATTTTTTCCTTGCAACGTAAAACACAACTAACGTGCGCGATTTAGCTGTGTAATTGAACAAAATTTGTCGAGTAAGACTTCTGCCTTCTGCCTCTTTTGTAAAAAAACTACAAATTTATTTAAAAATGATGTATAATCGGTGCTTTAAATTTATTGTTGACAATTCTTAGTCACGCAATGCAGTCGAAGTCCACCAGATGGCGCGCGCGTTGTGAAAACCCGATACTTCTTTAGAGTATGGGAACAGACCTGTAATATTTTATGGGCTTGTATAAAAGACCTGTAAAGTTTTACAGGCTTGTAGAAAAGCAATTTATGAAATAAAATGTCACATTTGACACATTAATTGAAATTTAAAATTTTAAAATCGTTTTCTAAAGGTAAAAATATAAGTTTCATTTACAAAGCTTGGCACGTAAATAACTAATATTTCCACCTTTTTAGTAAATGACACTTTATAGGTTAATTTTGTTGTTTTTGTATCCAAGTAAACGATACATTATGGGAACAGACCTGTAATGTAATGTAAACTTTCAGCTCGCCCGTAAAGATTAATTTACAAAGCTTGACACGTAAATAACTATTAAAATATAAGGATTGAGGTTTTCTTAATTCTTAAGCTTAGACACCAAGTTGTGTATACACTTTAATACTTTGTCTATAGACTTAGTGTATCCTAAGCTTTTAAAACAGATTGTTGGGTTTATGGCACTTACAAACCTACTTGTGGTATTATATCTGCAATTTTGTTTAACTAAAATAAAATGCTTATTTATTATCTGTATATTATCGTAAAATGGGGTTTAATTAAAAGTTAAGTAACTTTACAGTACTTTATTAAATGTATAGTTTTAAAAATATTAGCACCCCATTGCAATTTTTTTGGGTGATTACATAACTAGGGAATAGCACTACACTACTTTTCGATTTTGTAATTTTTTTAATTTAACAATAAGTTTGTTTAAATTTTATATTCTTTCCTGGCTGCAATCGACAAAATCTGTGCCGAGTGAAATTTTATTTAAACCATAAGGTTAATTTATAAACAGATAAAAATATTAAGTTTTTAGACTTTTTTAGACATAATGCTATTTTATATAGAATTTTATGAAAATGTAAAATTAAATGTTTTTGTAGGACCAACAATGAAGTTCTAAATGAAATAGTCCTCCCAAAAGAAGAAAAAGGTAAGTGTTTTTTTATAATTTGTCAAAAAATCGTCATAATTCGTTATTTAAAAAAAATAGAAAATTGTTTTTTATCTTTTTAACATACGGTCAATTTACGTACGGTAGCCCAAACAAACTACGACGCGTAACTTTTTTTCGCGTGGTGGTGTTGCGGTATAGAAAAAACATTGCGGTGTATAATTTATGCAAACATTGCCTATACAATAAAGAAATGTATGCAAAAATGGCCTGCATAGCCCAGTCATTCTAGACAAAAAAGCACCTGAATTGGAAAAAAATAGTAACAGGTAAATTTCAATGCAATTTCGTATAACTCTTTCTGGTAATCCCGAAAGTGCAAAATTGGAACAAATCGGATGGTTGCTTCCTCAGTCATCTTTGCCCTAAGGGGTAATTTTGTTTTTGTCAAAAAACTTACAAGAAAAAATTTGTAGGGAATAAAAATATCTACAATGTTTGCCTTGTAAACTTTTTTGAAAAAACAATATTTAAAACAAAAACAGCTCGTTGAACGTCCGAGGTAGTAGTTTGAAAAGCAGTTTTGCTTATTTTTGCCTGTTTCTTTTAACAATAAGTGGAATATTTAAGTAGAAAAGATGTTTCTGACTTAATTTGCAACAACTTTTGTTTAAACAATGTATTCATATCGTTCGTTCTCGGGGCAGTGTTGCCGGATGAAGTGCAGAGAGAATCGTGTTATTCGGCTACCGGAAATTGTGTAAAGTCGTAAAAATGTTAAATGTTATTTTAGAAATACATAAAATGAAGTAATAAAAATACCATATTTATAAAAAAACTATTAATAATCATATATTATATCACGAGAACTATGAATTTAATCGGTTAAACTAGGCTCAGTAGTTTTTTGTTTGGTTTTTGTTGGAAAATGTTGAATGCAAAATAATTTAATAAAATCACGAGACCGCGTAGCGGTCGAGGGGTTTTATTTTTAATTATTTTGCATGAAACTATTTTCCAAAAAGAAAAATCAAATAAAAAACTTAGCATAGCATAGTTTGACAGATTAAATTTATAGGTTTAGTGATATACGTCTAGATTATTTTTCGAATTAAAGGAAACTATTTAACAATTCATAAAATCTGACGTATGTGTCAAAATTTATAAATAATTTTTTAAAGAAAATTCCATTAATTTAAGGTATGTAATAAGTAATAATTGATATTTCGCAAACAAGATAACTTATTTTTTATTGTTTTTTAAAAATGTTTGTTAAAACTTGTAAATAACACCATAAAATCGTAAATAAAAATCCAATATGGAGGCTAAAATTCAATCGCTGTTAAATAGGTCTAGTGATTTAATCGCTTATTTAAACGAAATTTATTCAAAAATTCAAGGCTTTTGATTGGTTCATATTATAATGAGGGAAATAATCACATAAAAATCAGTAAAAAAATTACCAAACCATAAACTGGGCCTTTCTTACTTGGCTGGACCCACTTTCACCCTTTCTCCCAATCACTTTTGTATTTCTGTTTTTAGTCAGAACTTTTCAGTCTTTTTGGAGGCGTTCAATAAACGTATTTCGTTTCTTGTACATTACTCTCACTATTAGACATTTTATTTACGTCAAAATAAAATATTAAAACATTCCCGATGCGCCCGATCTGCTTAACACAGTTCTCTCAAAAAATAAATTAGTCAAAAATGAGTAACTGTCAAAGCAAAAAGCAGCCACTAATAATTCTCGTCAACAGCAATTTATATTCCGGAAATTCATCAGTCAATTCCTGTGTTAAATTGTCCTCCGAAACTAAAAATGTCGTCAAAAGTTATAAAAGTAGAACAGTTTTTGAGATATATTAAATTTTCCATATAATATGGAATGGACTAAATCTTAAAAACTGCTCCACTTTCATAATTTTCGAATTTAGGGGAAAAGAATGACTGCTTTTTCACTTTGAAAACTCGTCATTTTTGACTAATTAATTTTAGAGAGTTTGTCTGTGATACCCAAAATGCACGAACCATGGGATTCCCAGAATTAATCGCCAGTGTCGGCAATTTAGTCGCGTGAAAATTTCTTCATAACCAAAATATTTATAAACAAATTTGAATTATAATACATATTTTTTAAACTCAAAAGTTGACGTGAAATTTTTAATGACGGCCCTTCCCTTAAAATGAGATTTGGTGAGATTTTGCTGGACCCCTGTAATTATTGGATGTCCCCTGACAGTGAATATTAAAATCAGCCATTTACTGATGCCTAACAACGTGAATAATGAGTTTAATATTCTCGTTGTTAGGTCGGGCGGTTATATTGGTTACCATTATTTACGAAAAAAACCCAAATACTGACAATAATATGCAATTGGAGTAGAAAAAGGTTCATTTCTTTAAAGGCTTTTTTAACTTCCAAAGCCGGCATAGTAGGCAACTGGTTTATAATTATAATATAATAGCTATTTGTGTATTATGAGCGCAAAGTGAAACATTGCCGCTCTGAGCGCGGCTATCTGGCTAGAGCGGCAATGCCACTTAGCGCTCGAATTACACACAGGATTTTTTCTACAACCGGTGATTCTATATTAATGTTTGGTAAAAATTAATAATTATTGATAACCTCAAATGTGACGTTTGTATCAAAAGTCGCAAATACACTAAACGTTTCTTTATTATGGTTTCCATGGTAACTAAGCGACAAAGTAAAAAACGCTCGCTCCTCGGAAAAGTGTAACTTTGCGCTTTCTTTTGAAAGCGCAAATTTGTACTTTTCGCTTGGTTGTAGAAAAAATTTATTATAATTTTTATTTATTATTTTTTTTATTTGTACGGAAAATGACCGTTCTAACATCACTTGTGGAATTACATATATTCCTTAAACTGTTACAGAATGAATTATTCTATGATCAAAAATTACACTAGAATGTTACTATTCTTAAGTAGTCGTTGAGAAAAAAATATATATATGTGTATATATGTGTGATCAGTCACGTACTAATACTCGACGCAGTAAGACGTATCGCTTAGCGACCTCTTAAAACATAAAAGCTTAAAACCCACAAATAATTACTAAAGTGCAAATAAAATATAGTGTAACATCTATAGTGAGTAGAGACTACCCTACGCTAAAGAAAGTGTGAAGTGATAAGTGTCAGCTACAGGGTGGTCTTACCACCTGTCAAATGGACGATTTTCACGAGACAAACAAAAGATGACAAACAAGGGAGAAATGGGCCATCTGCATAACGGATAAGTAACCTTAAACATCTGCATGACCTAACACATAATTAGCAACATTGGACACGACAGTTACCTTAAAACTTAAATTAGGCACTTAAGTGCAAATTCTAGAAAAAACATAAAGTAAACAAAGTGCATAAGTAAGAATGGTAACATCAGTAAGACAATAGTAAGCAAACACCAAAAATAAAGACAGGGCAATGAGGCTGGTTGTACGTCTCTTATAATAATAATAATAATCTTTATTGCCCAACAGATACAAGATCTAATAACAGGACAAAATATAAAAAGAAAATAAAATAAAATATATGGCAATTTTAGTTAACAAAATAAACTTTGAAAAAGAATCATAATATTGGTGAGTTACCTACTAAAATTTTCAACTAAATCCTTAATTATCACATCTAAAGATGAGAAGTGAATATCACAATTAATACAGAGATCATTGAAATTTATACACATACTATAAATTGGAGACTTTAACATCACATTAGTTTTAGCTTGTGTACAGTAAAAAGTTGTATTATGTCTGCCAAATAGTCTGGGTACTTTAAAATTTAGTAGACTTAATAAAAAGGGAGAATCTATTTTATTATTAACCAATTTGTATAGAAAACTAACTGATATGATTAATCTTCTCAACCTCAGTGGTTTCATATCAAATCGAAGCAAGAGTGTGTCATGGTTATAACCTCTGGGTGGATAAAAATTATCAAACTTGAGCGAAGCAAACTTTAGGAATTTCCTTTGAATATTTTCTAGTTGCGTGATATAAACAGTATAAATGGGGCTCCACACTAGGGCTGCATATTCTAACCTCGTACGTACAAAGGCATAGTACAGAATTCGGACTGATTTTTCATTATTAAATAAACTCGTATTACGAATTAAGAAGCCCAGCATTCTGTATGATGATTTTGAAATATTGTCGATGTGCCTGTTAAATGAAAAATGTTTATCAAAGCAAACTCCAAGGTCTACAATTGAGTCGCATCTTTGTAATTGCGCTCCATTAAAAGCATAGTCAAAAGTAATTGAGTATTTTTTATTTGTATATGAAATTGCTTTGCATTTAGACTCATTCATAAATAACTTATTGGAATTACACCAGTCGCTTAAAATTTCTAGATCACTTTGGAGGCTCAGGCAATCAGCTATGCTATAAATCGGTTTAAATATTTTTAAGTCATCTGCGAATAGTAATTTATTGCATTTTAGTTGGTCGCCTATATCGTTAATAAATATTAGAAATATTAGGGGACCTAAATTGCTGCCCTGAGGAACCCCTGAAGTTGGCGTAAAGAAGGCAGAGTTGAACCCATTATAACTGACGTATAATGATCTATTAGTTAGGTAAGAGTAGAAAAAGTCTATCAAACTATTTGCAAACCCAAAAGCTTCCAATTTGGATAACACAATACTGTGATCGATCTTGTCGAAGGCCTTTGAAAAGTCTGTGTATACGACATCCACTTGACCCTGGTTATCCAAATAGTGAGTCAGATATTGCGTGAAGTGAGCTAAATTAGTAGTTGTAGATCTATTTTCCATAAATCCATGCTGGTATGGAGATATTAAGGAACTTATAAACGGGCGAATCTTGGAGTAAATTATTATTTCAAAGACCTTCGACAGGTTCGAAAGTATTGCAATAGGACGGTAGTTCGATAAACTTGAACTGTTTCCATTTTTGAAAATTGGGTTTAATTTTCCAATTTTCCAATGGTTAGGAAATGTCGAAGTTTCCAGAGACGTGTTAAAAATATGGCATAGTGGTTTAGCGAGTACATGGGCACAGTCTTTAATAATAAAATTTGGGAGAAAGTCGTGACCAACAGAATCCGTATTTTTCAATTTTTTAAAAGCGTTTAAAACATCCATTTCAGAGATTTTTAATATAGATATAATAGGTGCCTGGGAACAGACAGATTTAACTGGGTCGGTAGATGGTGGCGAATAGACACTTTTAAAGTATGTCGCAAATGCATCGACTATTGCTTGGGGAGAATCATATAGGGTACCTGCTTCATCTTGTAGGATTCCTGGAATTCTAGTGCATTTTTTTAGAGTTAATAAAAGACCAAAATTTCTTTGGGTTACTAGATATAGAAGCTTCCGATAAATTTATATGATTCTTATAGGCTTGATTTATTTGGTTTTTTATAATTTTTCGCAGTTCTTTAAATTTGTGCAAGTCCGAATTATTTTTATGGATTTTATATTTTTGTGGTGCCTATCTTTTAGTTTAATATTGTTAATTATCTCTTTTGAGAACCAAGGTGGATAACGCCGACTGATTGTTTTATTTGAGTATACGGGAACATATTTGTCTAGTACAGTATATATCTGTTCATAAAATTCATCGCATGCATCATGTACGTTGTTATAAATTGTCAGGTAGTCCCAGTTAAAGTTTAAAAGTTCATTGTATAAGCCTAGGAAGTTTGCCTTCTTAAAGTTATATCTTTTATTAGTATTATTAGGAAAATTTGGTGTATAAGTTGCGTTTAAATTAATTTCAATAGTTAATGGCGGGTGGTGAGGGTCAGTTACAACCATGGGACAGTCATTATGCTCGATTATACAACTTAAGTTGGTTAAAATTAAGTCTAGGATTATACCATTGGCATTAAGAACATTGTTAATCTGGCTTAAATTTAAGAATTCTATGCAATTACTCATAAGCTTGGTTTTAGAATCATTAAGATCTAATACTGAGAATTTAGGAATATTAAAATCACCAATTAAAATTACGTTATCAATGTGTAACACTAGTTCACTTAAGAGTTCTAAAAACAATTCAAAATCACTTATAGCAATGTGGGGAGGAACATAAATACAATAAATACAAAGGACAATATTGTTAAAATGGATCTTACAACCTGTTATATCGATTAGCGGTATTTCACTTCGAATGTGAGAAACGTTGATTTCCTCTGACCTGTAAATGGAGCGGTGGGCCACTAGTACACCACCACCTCTTGTGGCATCTGTTAAAACTTGATCTCGATCGCATCTTACAACAGTATATGAAGATTGAAATATTTCTGACGAATGAATACTTTCGCACAGCCAAGTTTCAGTTAAACATATAATATCATATTCCTCCTCGTGGACTGCTGGTATAAACGTTTTAATTTTGTTTTTAATGCTACGTACATTTTGATAATATATATCGATAGAACTGTTGGGTATTCTTAGTTTTCCGATATTATGACTGGAACTCCATTTCTATATTTTATCGTGAGGTTTGACTCTCCCGATGAAATACGATTGTTTAATTCTGCTTTTAGTTCCTTGTAGTGTGTTTGCTGCCTCTTGGTTTTGTCCGCAGCGATTACTATATTTTTTAGACTTTCATGATTTTTCAGATTTCTAGAGCTACGCAAGATATTTTGAACAATATTAACGTTATTGATCTCAACTTTAATTGGGCGGGTCTTCGGCGCTTGATTATTAAATTTACCCAAGCGGTAAAATTTTTTTGTATTCATATTGATCTCAATGGGTAGAGCGGCGAATACCTCTTCAATTTTAGTTTTTTCTCCATTAATACGGTCCTGACGATTTTCCATTTCAGTTTCATCGATATTAAAGATTAATACATTAGTTTTCCTTGCTTCTCTATCATTAATTTCTTGGATAATATCTTCCACAATTGCGTTGTTAAGGTTTGGGAGGTTTGTTTTCTCGTTCTTTAAACTAGCAACTTCTTTCGTTAGGGTTGTTATTAATGATTTCATCTCAATAATTTCCTTACCAATATTGTCGCAATTTTCACAACACCACGTTAGGCCACGTTTGGTTTTGATGGATTTTAAGTCCGTAACGGTTAGACCGACACATGAGTTTAGAAAATATTTTTTACAGAAGAAGCACATAATGGATTTGGCCTCTTCTAATTTAGTTTGACAACCACAACAGCAAGTCTCAGACATATTTCCAGGTTCTAATACTTTAAAGAAATCTGGCAACAAGGTACTAATATTTGCGAGCAACCCACGATATATTATGTAGGTTATGTGTGATAGTGTGGTTGATTTCGGTGAGATTTTTAGTTGTTTTAAAGGTATATAAGCTTTCTGACCTTGTATTCTTTGTGTGTAACGTCCAAACTACCATTAATGCATCCAATATAACAATTAACAAGTGGTTTCGATAGAAAACATTAGCATGGCAACGTTGCCATTTGCAAGTATGTAAAATGAATTTGATTAACGGTGATCTGCGTAGATCTCCGGTGATCAACGTAGATTATACCTACATCACACAATTTGTCAGATGTCGTCTCAATGATTGGTCCATGAACTCAGACTTTCACACACACAACACTAGATGTCGTCTAAAACTTGCCCAGCAATATTATTGGGGAATGAAATTTTATAACGCGATACCTAATAATATTAAGACTCTAAATGATAAGGAGTTTCTTAAGACTGTTAAACAATTACTTATTGAGAACGTGTTTTATTCCATACAGGATTTCTTAATATGTTTAATTGTTAAATCCATTAGAGCAGTAGTAGGTAAGTTATGTTGTTTATAAAATAAGAGGCACTTCTCTACTGGTTTGATTTATTTAAAAAACCGACTAGTTTCGCCTTTGAGGCATCATCATAATTTTTTGTAGAAACCTTGATGATGCCTCAAAGGCGAAACTAGTCGGTTTTTAAAATAAATCAAACCAGCAGAAAAGTGCCTCTTAATTTATAAACAATATAAACAACATAAGGATAATTTTAGCCCTTAATTTTAATGTGTATTAGTATTTAGTTTCTAATCTATAAATGTATATTATAATATATATATTTTAACAAATTGTAAATATTTACTTTTTTGTAAGGTTTAATTGTATTATTATTATTATTTACTTACCTTTGTACCTGACTTCATGTAGTTTATATTACAGTGAATAAAAACTATTATTTTTATATAAAAAAAATATTATTATATGTCGCACCTGTTACATTAATTTTATATACATTTTTGGTTGGTTTAGTCATAATTTGAAATTTCTTTGTTATCAGATATGGTAATCACCAACAGGATGCAAAAGCATCGAAAAAAACTGAAAGAAATTAAAGAAAATTACAAAGCACATTTACTAAAGGAAAGAGAAAGAGATAAGAAAAGAAGAGATGCAAAGAAGGCATCTGCGGATACGGAAGAGATAGAAAAGCGGCGAAAACGTGACCGAGAAAGGCAGAGAGCATTAAGGTTAAAGAAGAAAACGTCATCGCCCATCGGAAAAGTTGGTTAGATGCTAGTCCCTCTAAAAGAGCTGCAGTTCTAACAGAAATTGCTATTGAAGTTTTTTCGACAAGCGCTAGACGATTATTGTATCCGAACGAAAAAACTTCTGGTAATTTATCCAAAGAGATCATAGCCCAGATAGAAGCTATTTACGTGCAGCATCTGGCATTCAGTTCAGTTCAGTTTGGCGAATCTTGCGCAAAAACTTGGGATTACACCCCTATAAGATTCAGTTGACCCAAAAGCTCCAGCCAAACGATCATCTTTAAAAATGAGCAAGGCAGAAAGGTACCAAACGATGATACGTGATTCCTTTTTGCCTCGATTAAAGAATATGGATCTGGAAAACATGTTTATCCAACAGGATGGCCATACAGCACGTGAAACACTGGACTTAATTGCAAAAAAATTCCTGGGTCTGTAATTTCAGGTAACGGCGATATCAATTGGCCAGCGAGATCATGTGATCTTACTTCTTTGGATTCTTTTCTATGGGGATATGTGAAGTGGGTCTGATGTATGTAGGGTTGGGACAGTTGAAATTTTCAAATGACTATTTCCCTCGTCTTAATTTCCACCAATCACAAACGCGCAATTTTGAATTACAAATGGTTTCTAGGTGGAAAAACTGTGTGACAGAACCTGTCAGCAGTTTATTCGAGTTTACCCGCGGCAAAACTTGACAGCTGTTGTCACCAAAAATTGCAATTTATATTTTAATTGTTAACTGTTACTCATGAAATAGTCTTGTCAAATACCATTAGGGCATCTAATTTTTCCTGTGAAAAAAATCGAAAAAACAATGCTAAGTAATATTTTTTAACAAAATGCATTCGTGCAGGTGCAAAAATCCTCCTCTTCGACTCGGATTTTTGTTGCCACCAGCACTCATGCTTTTTGTTAAAATATTACTTAGCAACGTGTTTTTTCGATTCTTTTCGGAAAAATTAAATGCCCTTATGATATTACTTATGAAAATTTCAACTTTGAAAGTTTCAAACTTAAAATATTTCATTTAGTTGGAAAAGTGAAATTTTTAAAAATTTCAAATGAAATTTTTAATCCGAAAATTTCAACATTGCCTGTGAAAGTTTCAGAAATTTCATTGAAAGTTTCGCAATTTACTGAAAATTTCGCATAAATTTCACATGCGGCCTTCCCTGGGACCTTTAATAATAATTTACAATAGATTCCGAATCGACCAATAAGAACGAGTTATCAAGCGTCTGGGCGTTTTTGTTTAGTTCGGCTTGGATTTGAATACACTATAAGTAATTATACTAGTAATTGTACTTATATGCATAAATTAATTTAAATAATTTAATTCAGTTACCAATTTAATTTGTAAATTAAATCAGACTTTAAAATTTTTTTAAAAGTCATGATTAATTTAAACTTTTACTTTTGCTATAATTGCATCGGAAAACGGATAAAAAATGCCTTTGGCTCATAAAATTTTGATGAAGTTTCTTAAATTTTCGTAAAATTTCAGTAAAATATTTAAAAATAATAAATATATATAAATATAAAACAATGAAAGTGGCACAATCTCATTAGCTTACCAAAAAGTGCAATATTTCTTTTAGTTTTAGTAATTTTAAAAATATTTTAAAAGGAAATCTCAAGAAATTTGTGGTAAACATAGGTATTTACTATTTATATTATTTGAGGTCAGGAGCCCACAGAGGGGTAGGAGGTAAGAGAGGAGCAATTTGCCATGGTCCCCGAGTGGGCTTATTTCAATATTAATATATTACACTTAAAGTGATTGAAAGTTTCAATAAATTTCATGAAATTTCAGAAATTTAGGAAATTTTAATAAATTTCATAAATGTCATGAAAATTTCAAGTGAAATTTCAAGTACAAGCAAAAAGTAAAATTTTCCCAACCCTAGGTGTATGCAAATAAGCCTCGAACTATTGAAGCACTCAGAGACAATATCCGACCCAATATCTGCCAGAAGGTAATCCAAAATTTGGCTTTGTGAATGGACGCAACCCTTATAAGCCGCGGAGGCCATTTGCCATACATAATATCATAATATGTTCTTTAATTAAAAGTAAAACAAAGTCGTTACCTTTTTTCCACCTTGTTCAATTCCACTTCAAAGACCTATTACTCTTATTAAAAACCCCTTTAGAAAGTGAAGAATGCATGATAAATACGTGTAAACAGTGTGATAACATAACTGATATAATTTATTTGAAATTTGATCGTCACGCAATCATATTATGGATACAAGTTCAATCAGATACAGGCACCATTGGTGATTTCCTAAACATATTTAAGGCCCAACAAAGAAATTAAGACCCACTGGTTTGTATAAATAGTTCAGAGCAAAGTCATTATCAGCGACGAGCTTGGCCACAACAAAGTTTGTGATTGGGTGTTCATCAAAATGATTATTGAAGAACTGACAACCTACCACAAAAAAATCTTCTCGAAAGGATGCGCAGCACAGTTCAAGAGTCGCTATAATTTCTACAATCTTTGTAATGCTACAAAAGATTTCGGAGTAGATGTAATTTGGTCATTCTTCTCGACTGGTCGTGAAAATTAAACGAGTCAATCCAAATGAAACCACCAAAAATGAATTGAAAATGAATTAAAACTTTTTTTCTGTGGCAATTATTGAATTGATTGTAATTTTATTTTGGTATGTTTTCAATATTAATTATTATTATCTAATTAGTTCTTCTCATAAAATGGTAAACCACTGAAGATTTGTAATAATTTGCCAATTTTTGTGATTTTTGTCTGGCTCCTGTGCCTATTCTGCTAAATCTAGAAAGTTGCTTTTTTTTCAGACTATCATTTTCTTTATTAAAAAATATTTGTAACTTAGCCAATTTTGCCATCAAAATCATTATGTTGAGGAAAAAATAAAAATCTGAAACTTTCAGGAAATGTAATCCCCACCTTCATCTTTTCAGTCTAGTTAGTCTTGTTTTGTTATTTTTATCCATGTAAAAGATATAATAGTTTTTTTAGATTAGCAAATTATCATGAATCTTTAGTGGTTTACCATTCTTTTATGAGATTAACTAATTGGATAATAATAATTTATATCGAAAACACACTTACTGAACAGTAAAACAAAATTAAAATCATTTCAATATTTGTCACAGAAAAAAGTTCTGGTCCACTATAAGAGAGTAAGAAATTGTCACGATTTCAGATTTCTGAAGGATGCCGATTAAAAGTAAAGAATCCAAAAATTAAAACGGCAACGGATTTTCATATTTGATACCTAAAAGATCATCCTCAATTTTTTTTTATCAAAATAAAAAATCAAGCAGCGCACCCCATTTGGTGTTTTTATTTGGAATGACTCTACTGAAAAAAACCTGTGTAAAGAGCCTACGTCAATACACTTCTCTACGTTATTCTGCCATCTATACATATGATTAAGACTAATTATATATAAATCGTCACCTGAGAATTATAGTGTTCTATCTGCATTTTCTTTTTTTTATTCAGGTTAGTCTTGTTTTAAGTATTAAAGATGGATATTGTTCTATCTATATATAATTGGGGTAGAAATTGTACAGTTTAAGCCTTAAACTTTACAATTTCTACCCCAATTATATATAGATAGATCAATATCATCTTTAAGACTTAAAACAAGACTAACCTGATTAAAAAAAAGAAAATGCAGATAGAACACTATAATTCTCAGGTGAC